TTCTGTACAGATTTGGTCCATTTGACAATTTAATCTCTATTATTGGAGCTCTCACGACTAGAGCAATGAGTCAAGGCTTTCTCAAGACCAGAGTGTAACATGCACAACTGGAGGACAGACCTTTGTGGTGTGAAGTGTGGCCACCAAACAAACAAAACACACACATTGACATTAAATACCGAGCACAGGACCTTCCAGCATAGTGTGAAAAGAAGGTCATACAAACATCAAGTCTTTTATCCTTTCTCTGTCTGCCAGCATTTTTGAGTCTGTGACAGGGACGGGATGTCAACGAACAGTCCCTGTAGAGTCGAGTCAGTTGCACAGTGTAAGCTTCGGAGGTTTACCATACATCAGTTTGCCCCTCCCAAGAAACCCTGCATGAAACCAACCCAACATCTACTTTTGCAGACCACAGTCAACCACTGAGCAAGAAGTGGGTTAGGAGAACATACAGCTGAACCATCGGGCGTGAGAAAGGGATATAGTGAAGACTTTTTGTTTTCCTCGTTTTAATAGCCTTGCAGCCTGTTTGCTGATATTCATGCCAGTGTTTCCTTATAAACGGAAGGTCCCACCTCCTGTCTTGCCTGCAAGACAACAAGTATTGGTGAGGCACCCTAGTATAACGTAGAGATCTACCTCACTAAAAATAAAAGACAATTACGCTGGTATAATGACCTGCATATTCCCAATGGAATTAATCTGATTAGACCAGCTGCAGAGATATTCTAATTAGGCCTTGTGGTTTTGTGCCATAACTTGTTACCAATGTAGAAAAAATTTGTTTTACATTCTGTGCTGCATCGTGGATTCAATTGGACATTATACGGCAAGCTGCATGAAAGAGTATTGTGTAACATTTTGTGTGTATGTTTTCAAATATTCACTTTCTGCCAGACTCTTACAACAGGCTGCGTATACAGCTACATTCAGCTAGTCCTCTCTTCATGAACACTGCGCACAGAGAAGAGGATCATCCCCTTGGTTACGACATAATCAATATGCCAGACCATACACACATGCCAGGGGAAATTATCTGCCAGGTGCTGGTTTTGTGGAGATAGGAGTAGAGTTTTTGCACAATGTTGCTAAATAAACAGTTGCCTGTTTGAGCTAATCCCATTGAAGGAGAACAATAACCAAGGAGGCCGTGGTCTGAACTCACCTATTTAACCTGCAGAACGTGTTCTCTAAGCTGCTTTATCTGCAGGTAATCCATTAGGATCTGCAAGGTTGGAGGACTCCTTGCCTCACATGCACTGGACTTTAAGAGCCATACCTGGTTACCTAAATCAGGCCGTGACATAAGTATTTAACTGTTAAATAATATCCATTGAAAATGCATAGTAATATATGACTTAGATCCACACACACATATATATATATATATATATTACAGTTGTTTTACTCTCAGCCTGACACACGAAGAAAATTTCTTCCACAATTGCAGCACCGTCGTCATGGGCATTTACACACCCCATCAAGAATGTAGACTCAGTGGGATTACTGGAAGCAATATTGGGTCATTATGGAAGATTGTGATTGCATTAGAACATAATGACAATGATTAAATCAAGGCGAATCTTGGGGATGATGAAACTTTTTTTATTTAAATCTTAAAAATATTGCTTCTAAATTCCACTCAACCACTTTTAAGCACACCGAAGACTGCAGATGTACACTCCAAAACTGCTTAGTTAAGAATGTGTGTGCTGTTCATCTAGTGTAGGTGTATTTATGATATGTATGTACTGTATGTGTAGGTCTGATCAGTAGTAGAGCAGCTGTAGGGGTGGGTGCTTATTGGGTTTCAAAACTTCCTGCTGAGCCTGCTGCAGGGGTCCAGGGACAAATTTAAATTACTATCTACAATGGGAGGAGCCAATTTTAAAAACCCCATTGATATCCCCTTGCAGTAAAGCTGAAGTGAAGCTGTACAACCTACCACATTACACATCCTGTTGGAATGTAGCTGATAGCTGTCAGAACAAGAAAGGGTATAGTACAGTGTTTGATTCAGTGTGTTTGCTGAGTGAAGAGTCACACAAATGTCTAAAAAGCTTCTTAAAATTCTATGTTGAAGAACAACCAGCTCACTTGTTTTGAAACAGTTTTTCCAGGCTACTGAGCAACTTAACACAGGAATGCAAACACATCAGGGGTGAAAAATGTGACAAAATGCAAATCCCCTAACGGAGTCTGGTGGTCTCAGAAACTGATCTGATATTCCAAAACAAATCCAAAAGCAAATAGTTTAGTTTTGTTATGATTATGACAGTTTAAGCCTAGCTAATATTATCTCAACGTTAAAAAAACTGAATGTTAACATTAAGTTGCCACTTTGGATGAGGAGCTCAACTTGTGTTGTCATCGTTGGCAAAATGGTAATAACAGTAACATTACTGTATCTACAAATAAAATTCGGATTAACAAGTACAGTAGCTAATGTTAGACCCCATGGAAATAATGTTACGTCCAAATAGTGATGACTAGCATTCGCCAAATTAGAACTCAACCTTACGTCATATATGCAAGGTGACGGGTTTCCATCCCTGTTTCATATCTAGTCAAAACAAAAGAAGCAGGAACAGACATTGAAAATGTACAGAGCCATGTGGTTTAAAAGAACCACTGATTTCATACATTAAGTAAGTACATCATTTAAATATAAAGACCTCATTAATTAGATTAATTATGGGTTCTGATACCAATGTGCCAATATAGTTCTTGTTTTTCCGTAGCGTATGGACACTGGCTGTTGTCAGGGTTGTCTCATACAAAATGGTTTTTAAAAAATGTTGTAATTAACTCCAATTAGTCGAAATAGGCTGCAGCTTGTGCCAGTAATTCTTCTCCTTTCACAACGAAGTCAAGAGTCAAAATAGATATTTCAAACTGGACTTTGAAGTGCCTTTGCCAGCTGAGACCCAGCAGATGACGTTTGTTTTTTTTTCTTCTCTTTTTCTTGATTTGGCTGCAGGATTCAAAGCAAGGACATCTGCTCCCTCATCAGAGAGGTGCTCCAGTTTTGAACAAATGGACTGCCATTTGTAATTTCTCCACTGGTCACTCACCCTGAAATAGTGTCTCGCTCCTTTATCAATGTGATGTATGGTTCTCATTAGAAAAAGATGTATCTTTGCATCTTTTGTCCTTAAAACTTGGCAACACATTTAGTCTCACCAAAGTGGGGCTGTGACGAAGGAATCTCATATTCAGACACCCCGTATTTAAGAATCAAAATCTGTTCTTAAAACAAAGCTATATAACTTTTACTGCAGCCACAAGTGGGAATTACTGATTAATAGTACATTGTTTCCCCCTTCTTTTATTTAGATAATCTTGGCTCTATTGCTGGTTCAACATTTTGGGAAATACACGTATGTGCTTTTTCACGAGAGCACGAGAACAAACGATATGAGGTCACCTTTGGACAGAGCCTGGCAAGCTGTTTCCAGTCTTTATGTTAAGCTAGGCTAAATGATGGACAGACTTGAGAGTGATATCGATACTGTGGTTTAAAGAGCGATGAAATCACAACATTTGATATTTTGCCTCTGTGGTCACTTTGGTATGAGACATCACATTCGAACATTTTTGGGTGTTCCGAAGTTTTAAACCTGCTGCTGTTTAAAGTTGACGCCGCCACTATGCAGAGTAAGCAAGTATACTTCCAAAACTATTCAAACAATCAGGACACTAGTCTTCTAAAAACAATTTCCTTGAAAGAATTATTTCCTGAGATGGAAGACAGTCAGTGTCAAAATACCATAACAAAGCAGCATAACTCTTGCGTTATAAGGCAGCCTTGACATGTTTTCCTATGAAAGGGGGCGTGCAGGGGGTTCAGCGGGGAAGTTCACCTCATGATTAACTGTTGGTTGCTAGGTGACCATCTTGGAACAGAGCCATTTGCTTGCAGCCCGGCTCTTCGATAGTCCCTATCTGAGAGCAGCCTCCATGCACTTCTGAACCAACCACTGCTGTCCAAATCACCTCCCGTTGCCATAGGGATTCCAGGGACATCTGACTCAAAAATGACATGAGTCATGCATTTGAAGTGAGACAGTTTTCTCTTATACTCATAGTAGACTTGTTGAAAGGACAGAGGAATCTGGTTTATCACAAAGGCACAACAAAGAGGGCCACGCATTGAAAGGGGAAGGATTACGGCCTGCTTCTGGTCTGCAAATTAAATGTGAAATCTATAGGTAGCGGAGATAAAATACAAGACCACTGCATACCTGATTTAGCTGATGGTGGAAAGAGAAACCCTGACCCACACCTTTCTATAAATCTCTATCCTTCGGTTTAAGGGATGCCCCCCCCCAACCCCCCTCCTCTCTGTCCTAGTTTTCTTCAAGGCCACTGCCACAGTTCCCCCACCTGGCAGTACAGTATTTCTGACAATATACTGTATCTTGGCATCTATTATTAAACTATATATTTTCTACTGCTGATGTGACTGTTCTTTCACTTCAGACTGGAAAATTTGCTTTGGTTTGTCTTTTTACTACTGCTGTATGCGTCTGATCACAATGGATATGGATATGTTTAATGGGACAGTTCAAGACGCTAATTTGCTGTATTGTCCATTAGATGAGAAGATCAATACCACTTTGTCTGTTTGTCAAATATGAAGCTACCGCTTGCAGCTGGTTATCTTAGCTTAGCCTAGTGTAAAAGCATTACTTAGTGTTTTTTATGAGGGGTTATGTGCTAAAAAGCCTGTCAATGTCACAGCGCCTCATTTTTACACTTCAGTTTTTGTACAGATTAAACAAACAAGATGATAGAATGTTAAGGAGTTTTAGAGGTGCTGGTACGTGCGTTTTGTTTTTTAAGACAGAGCCAGGCTAGCTGTTTCCCCATTTCCAGTCTTAGCACTAGCAGGCTGCTGGTTGTTCATATTCGTTCAAACATGAGAGTGGTATCGGCCTTCTCATTCAACTCTCGGCAAGAAAGTTAATAAGCACGTGTCCCTAAATGTCCAACTGTTCCTTTAGGTTGAGTTTTTATTTCCTGGGTGTGGATCAGATCAGAAACAATGCAAAGAATAGCTCATTTTGAACAGAAAAAAGCCCTCACAGAGGAGAAAATATAGGTCAAAACAACATCATCCTGCCACATTCGCCTCTCCACTGGGTGACACAAAAACCAATCAATTTCACAGTGGTCTCCGATCAGCTGAAGCCTTCCATCTCCCCCCACCATTTAGTCTCTCTCAGCCCCAGTGTGGCCGCAGCGCTGGTCCCATTTCTGGATGTAACACAGTCTCCATCCTAATTAACCTAGATCTAGATATTAATAAGATGAAAACAGGTCTAGACTAGAAACAGTGGCAGATTGAAAGGAGAAGGTCCTGATTTCAGAATGGTCACACCAAAGTGGGACACCTTCGCCCCTCCTTTGACAGGGGAATAAAGTCTGTTTCTATATAAGAAAACACCCCCTGGCCCTTTTTAATTGGTCCCACCTCTCTTGAGGTTTGAGTGGGATGAGAGGCTGAGAATATCTACAAGGGGAGGATGAATTGCATGAAGCCAGATAAGAAACGTCAAGAGGATGGAAACAAATAAAAGCTTTGAGAATTTTGATTTGTTTTTGACTGACATGACATGTTATTGCAAAAAGCTTTGGCAATTGTAAAGGTGTAGAGATCACCTCTGTAGCGTATGTGACTATTAAAAGAAACCTATTAAACATCATTCCTCCAATCTCTGTCAGTGCAAATGATGGTTCTGCTCCTTCCAGATTAATGTGTGAGAAACGGGACTTTCCATGAGCCAGGTCAAGATGACAGCTGCAAGACTGTATCATGTGGGAAATGTCCTACACGGAGCACGCGTCCCCTGACAGATGAAATGGATTATACAAGTGAAAGGACAGACAGGAACAAGTTTTCTCTCAGAAAAATGTAGGTTTTCTTACCAATGCATAGTTTTTATTGCATCCCCTTACACTTGAGTGGAGACAGTGGCAGATGAGGAGAGGCCGGGGGGGGGGGGCAAACAGGAAACAATGACAGGCAGAGACATGACTCATCCTGCTGATTGTGTTTATGGTGCCATCAACACGTCGCATTGTCTTGTTCTAATGAGAGGTTGAATTAACAAAGATTTCAGGGAGACTGAAAATAGACCAAGACATATCTAAAGAGACAGTTTGAAATGAAAATAAGGAGAAAACAAAAGGCAGAAGGCTTGACAAAAAAATCTTTTCTCCGTCATTCAGAAACACTCTAGTGACATGAAATTTTATTTACATTAGTTGAGAATAGATAAATCCAGCGGAAGGAACCGAACACAGTTGTCTGCACCACAACGGCACTCCTTCCTCTGGAGTCCATCTGTCCTACTGGCCTGCGTGGCGGCGTCACTTTGTGTGGACGGCAGCTCTGCAGGAGGTTGGTTACTGTATAACCCCGAGTAGTCAAATGTCAGCTCTTCTTGTGCATCAATGTTCCGTCCAGCAAACAGCGCCAGTCTAGGAACCACCGAGTGCACGCGGACTGGCTGCATGAACAGGTTGGGCTGGCAGGAGTGGTTGAGAAAGCGGCCTACGTTTCCCACCACGGCAGGGTCCACAAACGTCTCAGTGATGGAGCCCGTGCCTGCATGCTCCCTTACGGCGATGATGTAGTTGTTTTCCTCGGATCTCTGGGCAAGCTGTCTGCGTCTGGCCTCCTCCAAACTGATCAACTCTCCTGCATACTCGCACACAAACGTCCCACGTGGGATTGCCTCTAGTGCCCGTACTCCCCAGCCCCTGTTCTTGGTGCTGCAAACCTCCAACCGGAGTCTTAGCCCTCTCTGCACCACCCGGTTAGAGCAGGCATCACTGCAGGAGCAAAGGGCATTACACTCAAACACAGGTGAGCAGTAACCAGAGTCTATTCTGCTGAGGTTGAGCAGTGTGCCAGTGCTGTCGTATGCCTGCCCATGTGTCTGCAGGCAGGAGCAGCTCTCGGTGAAGCAGGAGTGGGAAAGGCAGGAGCACCCAGGAAGGGTAATTTCACTGGGGTCAGTAGAGCATCCTGGACCCTGAATATTATCTGGAGAATACTGAAAAAATGACAACAAAGAGCAGTCAAAGGTTAACAAAACTGTCAGTAACAAAAACAAACACACACAAACAGTTGAAGGGAAATTCAAAAAGCAAATTAGGCAACATTGCCCGTAATTCTAGGAAATTTTCAATTTACAGCTGAAACAATTAATTGATGAATTGTTTTGTCGATCGACAGAAAATTCATCATTTCAGTCAATTTCCCCAGCAAAAATGCCAAACATTCACTGGCGTCAGCTTCTCAACTACGTGGTTTTGCTGCTTGTCTTTGTCTCATGTGATGGTAAACTGAATATATTTGGGTTTTGGACTGTTGATCAGACAAGACAAGACATTTGAAGACGCCACCTTGAGCTTTAGGAAATTGTGACAGTTATTTTTACAGATGATTATTCAAACTGCAGATCAGTTAGTTGCTGCCCTAATTCCAGTTTATGGGAAACGTCTTTTAGACTACAGGTCTGAATGCTTCGTAACTGCCAACTTCACAATCATTAGCCTACTTTAACAACCACATTACCCCATACAACTATAGTATCACCACACTCTGCAATGATATGACTGTATTTTGTATGCTTTAGAATTACTTTTAAAAGTGGTTTCATTATAATGCAGTCAGAAAGGTCTCGAGCATCATGAGCAAGGAGTGCTAACTAGGGCAACTCCTTTAGTTCTAGAGGGCAGTTATTTTTTGATTCCCTGAACTGCAGTCAGATGATGTGGCTGCAGCCTGTAATCATTTGCTGCCATCTGCCGGTAAAATAATGTATTTCATTTGATGGAGTAATAACCATCAGGTTTTAATGAGTTTTTTGTTACAGCCAGAGGTTTTCAGTACAAAGCAAGAATACAAAAGAAGGACTTTGAGACTACTTTGATTATTCTTTCAAGACTTGCACCATAAATAAAATGGAGGCAAAAGGAGACACAACAATTACGCGATAAGTTGTCGACTATTACATTAATCGGCCACTATTTTGTAATTTCTAATTTCTATGCTCTGATTTCAGCTTAAATGTGATATTGTCTGGTTTCTACTGAATGTCTTTAGGTTGTGGAGAAAACACATGGGAGGACATCATGTTGAGCTTTGGGAAACAATGATCAACATTTTCTGGACATTTTCTGACATGTTATAGCCCAAAAAACAGATTCATCTACAATGAAAATCATATGATTTTCCTAACACATGTCAAATGTGAGTCTTTTTATTGCAGTGTATTTCTGACATCCCTAATCGCATCTTGCATGGTGCCAGTGCTATGCAGAGAAAATTAATTTGGACCAATATATCGGCCGATAGTGTATATTGGTATCAGTGTATGTTTTCTGATAAATAACAAAGATATGTTTGAGGTACAAACAGTGTCACTTTTACATAGCTTGTCCTACAGAAAGCACTGACAAGTTCATTTTTCTAAAATAATTCCCTTTTTTTCAGTGCATACATGTATCGCAGTCACAATTCTTTATAAACTACCACTTGTTTGTTTGTTTTATGTGTTGTTTTTTTTTAATTACTGTCAGTCGAATTATCACTATAGTGTGTACAGTATGTTAAATAATCAGTATCTGTGGGGCTGTAGTATTTATTTACATTAACATGTCATATCAGTTTAATTTAAAGGGGAGTGGCACTGGTGACCTACCGCAGCAGCTCTTTGGATGATCTACTGTTTGCCCATCTGTTCCCGGATCACAGGATGATAATGTGGAAAGAATAGTAACGACTCAAAGCTATTTTCACTGTAAATCAGTTTTGGTTGATGGACTCGGCATGTGCCATCATGCATAACTGATGTGCAGGTTTACAGCCCATACAGATGGGATGAGGTTACACTGTCAGCTGGCTTACCAATGCATTGTGACCAATGTGTAAATAATTAAATTAATTAGGATTGAATTCTGTATAGACGTTTCCTGGTCCTGGTCCTGGTCCTACATGCTCTCAGTGTCACAGTTAAAATACTGGGACACTTCAATAACTTACAACATCGTTAACGTTAGTTATTACTAAGACTGTGTTTCCCTGGAAGTCTACTGTAAAGAGAAAAAGAACTGCTGTTGATTTTAGTAATACTTCCAACACATACTATAAATAGATGTTGTTAGAATTGTACTACTCTTACAACACTCTAAAAGGAGGTGGACTTCAGTGGATGTTTAGCAGCTAAATGTGTTCAACTTACGGGCGCAACTGCAGACAGACGTGCAGCGTAACGTTAACGTTACCTGAAATTCAGGAAATGTCAGTACACCTGAACTCCGCTCAATTAAAACAGCAACATTTTCGAGACCGTTGCTCAAATCCGCACCGTGCCAGTCAATATTCATGTCCGAATTTTACAAGGAAGCAGCGGCAAATGAGGCGAGAGGTACAAAACCTCAAACCTAGAAGCTGCAACTTCCGGCAGTTTAGCTACAGGCTAGCGACCTCTAGTGACGTGATTGTATCATCACGCCAGTGTGATCATAAAGCGTGTGGTTTGACCATCTGGCCCTACCCAGAACAAAGTGGGCAGGAGCTCATGAAGGACAAATACAGCACAGCACGAGATAATTGTTTAATCTAAACTACTGTGAGGGTGAAACTGGAGAGCATTACTTCTTAGAAACGATCTCTCAGTGTTACTGACCTCTTTATTCCGTTTGTTTATAGGCTATCCCATTTGTTCAGTAATGATTTTGATTCTTTGCTTCTCTCTGTCTTTGTTCAACATTTGCCCTCACATTCATCATCGTCATCCCTAAGCAGAAGTTGTTTTACAAGTGTTCCCAGTGTGCTCAGACAACTGCAGCAGACTAATGTCGTTTGTCCTGCAGGTGGCAGGACTAGTTAGGCAACATACTGGTGTTCCTGTTTTGAATCCACAGCTGAACTTCACCATTGTGAGCCATGGAAATATAGAAGGAATCAATCAAAACATGTGCCAAAAACTTGTTCATATATAATCTAATAAGTATGTATAATAGCAAGCTGCTTGAAAGGCTAAATGTCTTCTTTGATGGAGCATGTTTCACTCTGTTTCTCAAGATAAAGTAAACAAAATCCCAAAGAGCGTACTTTCTGACTACCTGCATGACCAAACAAAGTTGAAAACATGACCGTGTGAGTATGCCTATGCAGTGGTTTATTCTCTGGTGGCTCTCTGAGGCAGATGGGGGGGGGGTCACATTGTCAGCTGGCATTTCCACACTACACACAAGTGACCAAGGGTTCTCCTTTGAGAATCAGCCTCCATCTTTGTCCTTGGGCAAAATTAGAGCTGTCAGCTGTTAGTCCTGCATCAAGGCTTCAGAGATTGCATACTCGATCACAAGTTGAAATTTTAGACGATAACGGTACGATGAATTGACAATAAACTGATTGACTGTTTGATTTGACAACAACAGAGGTTAGTGCTAAAAGAATGTGGGCTTCATGACTCAACTTTTGTGTTGTGCTCCACAGCCGGCGCTTTCACTTTAGTTGAACATTTGGAAATTGCGTCATGTGTGATTCCGTAATTTCCAAATTTGCTGTATAGACATGAGACATGCTTTTTTTTTTTTTATCTTTCATCTCATTTTGAAGTCTTTTCATCTACCTCTGCTTTGTATTACTGTCCTATCATTCTCAAAAAGACAATAATTAAACAAGACTAAGAGTCTACAGCCACGTCAGCACCTCTGTGAGGCGATCTACTGAGCTAAATGCTAAAAGTCAGTACACTGACATGCTCGCATCGACAATGTTAACATGATGATGTTTCATAGGTGTAACGTTTAACATGTTCATTATCTTAGTTTAGCATGTTAGCATGGTAATATGCTAATTAGCACTTACACATAGTCCGGCTGAGGCTGATGAGAATGTTGTTAGTTTCAAAGGTATCTGATCAGGTTTTGAACAAACAGGCTACATTTCTGACCTCATGGTGGCACTAGATGACAAGTCAGGGGATTACTAAAGTTTTTACAATTCATCCTGTCTGTCCCTGACTTCATGTCAAAAAAAATCTAATGTCAAGATGTTTCACTCAAACCTACAAATGTCAAACTCATGTTGGTGCTACAGGAAGAGTTTGAGAGTGACCGTGTAGATGATGAGCTTATTTCACAGATTAAGTAAAAACATTGATCAGCTGGTGGTGCTAGAGGAAAATTTCATCAAAAAAATTCACCTCAAGGGGGGGTGCCTGTCATGATAGAAATAAAAAGGTGTCAGACTCTAAGCCACATATCCACAAACTCATGGTTAAAAACTGTTGAAAAATCAAGGGAACTACAGTATTAATTATTCATCAGGCCTTTCACCTGCACAGGGATGAAAATGATCTTTTAGCTATCTCTCTGTAGGCATCAGATGCATGAGATTTCAACTTTTGAATTGTTTATTTAATACGCATGGTTCTTTATAAATAAAAGACAAAATCACTGAAACATGATTCAAAAGGTGAGCAACCATTACGCCCACATATCCTTGTATTCAATTATTTGGGCCTAAATAAAGGCCAGATTACTAATTCTGATGACTGCTTCATGTATCTCACATTTTAGAGCAATAATACTCTTGCCATTGCTTAATGTAAATTATAAATATTAATGATTTTACTTTACACTTCACAGATTTCAGGATCATTTTGGGTGTATCTTCCTTAACTGAATAATTTAACTGTTCATTTGTTTTCTTGTAGCCTTTGAAATGGTCTTTTGGGGAGTAAATAATATGACTTGACATTGTTGTTCTAATTGTGCTTTCTGACAATAGGGTGAAACAGCTTTCCTTGCTCCAGATGAGGGAGGCTGTTGAGGGTCTTTTGTGGGTGCCACTGACAGGGATCGTTTGGCTTTACACACAAACACACCGTTGTGGCACTACCTTTGGGGGGACCCATCCTTGACATAATGCATTCCCTAGACCCTTACCCAAACCTTAACCCTAACCTAATTTTAACCTCGACCCTAAAAACAAGTCTTGACCCTCAAAAAGCCCTTTAAGCTTCTGGGGTTCAGTATTTTGGTCCCCACAAGTATAGTAAAACAACCCCCACCCCCCCAAACACACACACACACACACACACACCAGCACAAAGGAGTTGAACACTGAGGATGGACTACAATTGGTTGGAAAGTTAATGAACCAAAAGGCATGGTAGAACGTGTTCTCTGGGGAGATTATCAACAGCACTCCCTCTGCTACTGTGCTGATTGACTTGGCCTCAAATTGGCTGCGATGCTTCTCCCAGCTTGTGAGGAAAGCTGCGGCGTGGCCGAGTGGATGCACTCTCATCTGGTCTGTCAGTGGAGAACAAAGGACATTTCAAAGGTTTCCCTCATCTGCATTTGTCTGTTTGAGTAGGCATCATCATGATGAGTTGACCCCTGAGGTTTCAGAGGGGCTTTTTCTGACTGCTCCACTGAGTTCATCAAATGCCATCAAAAGCAGCAAAACAAACAGAGATTCAGTTTCAAGCATTAACAAACAAACAAACAAAATCACTTTTGCTGCCGTTTACGCACCCTGCAGCAGTCATCCCACGAGACTACTGGGTGCCTTCCTCTGCTGCCAGGCAACTGCAGTGACAGTGTGATTCACTCACATGACAAGATTTTGGAAAGCAATTAAGCGAGGAGTCAACAGGGTTCATCAGCCTCCTGAGGCAAGCAACATATTTAGATCTTCACTATGAGTTTTAAGAATGAATTAAGTTTGATAGACATGTTCTAAGTTAGTCAAAACTGTACACCGATAAACAAAATCTGGATTCCTTTTTAAACATTTTTGGCTTTTCTACTACAGCTGTCCTTTGTGGAAAAACAGCAGATTGTGAAAAACTGCAGCGACAACACAAGCAAGCTTCTCCGCTCGCCCTAATTGACACCCCAGGCTTGCTCCATTTGTAAAAACTGCTCCATATATTGACACCTTTCTACCAATAGCTTAGAACGAAAACTGCAAATCTCTGGAGTGCTATTGCAGTCCGTGTTTTGCCCCAAACAGTACTGAATGTTGTGACATGTGCTCTGTGTGAGTGTGCCTGTGCTGTGTGTTAGTGACAGCTCAGATTCTGATTTTCTATTATTTCACAGCATCCCTCCCCTTTTCTTCTGGTCTCCATATAATATGAATTGGAGTAAAGCGTCATCATGATTTGAGCAATTGAAACATCAACTTGTGAGGATACGTGTTTGTCAAATTTGAAAATTTTGTGTCCAGGCCAGTAGATCTTTTTACCTTGGTTTGGTTTTAGTCATTACACTCCAGGTCAGCTTTTTTGATTTATGGTTAATAAAGCTCAATTTGATTCTTGAAACTCCACCATTATCACCTCCTGTGCCATACTGCAAATAGCATAAGGTATTTTCCAAAGATTGTGAAAGCATTCCCAATGGAAATTTGGGCCATGAAGTTTTAGATTCCTCACCTGTTCAAATATTGAATCATGATATCTGCTCCCAGCTTGATTTTTTTTTTGTTCAAAAAGGGAATAACATGGTCATTACTCTGAGCAGCATGTATAACAATAAATTACAATATAATAGATGTGTGTATATTTCTCACTTTTCCCTAATGGTCTGATTAACTCTTAAATTTGTCACTAGTCGCTTTTCAAAAATAAAGAGGAAATAAGAGATACATGAGTCTGAAAAGTCACAAAGTCAAAAAGTGTGTGTAAAAAAATGACCCTTAGCGATAGGCAGCAGACCAAACCCTGTGAGGCATATCAGTAGGGAGGACATAATCTTTCAAAACTTCAAAACGCATTGGACTCATAGAGAACGAGATTCTTAAAACGTTTAGGAAAAATGACTAGAATGTTCTTACACAACATTCTGTGGTTAGTTGCAGTTTTTACGTGGGTAGTGGGTAGTTTTTAAAGGTACAATGTGTGAAAATGGAGGCCAAATTCATCCACCAAAAAAATAGGGGGGAGGTCATAACTGCTGCTAACTGCCAATAGCTATTTAGATGACTTAGCTGAGCAGGTAATTTAGTGGCCCTATTAGCTGAAGAACCCAGCAGCCTCCCACTGTACGTGTCTGGACTGGGACCAGTAAGAGTTTATTTCAAACAGTGGAAAGACTAACCAAGATGGTTTGAGTTTTATTTTGTTTCTGTCCAGTTTGAAGTTAACAAGGCAATTACTTCAGTGAAAGAGTGAAATTTGAATTCAAAGGGTGTGCGGTGGTTTGATGAGGACAATAGGTGTAAGAATACCAGAAATACTTTATTGATTTGTTCAGTTACAGTTGCTCCCATAACAAGGCATTAAAGAAATAGAATATAACAATAAAATATAGGTCTTTAATAGCATTATGTACAGATAAATAGAAGTGTGTCGAATTATATACAGTACAGAATTAACCAGAAATGTAATTGTCGGATATTACACATTAACAAGTA